ATGCCGTTGACCGCCGGGTCCTTCCCATAGCCCTTCATGAGGGCGAACTGCCCGGCGACGTTGTCGATGAAGGCAATCCAGTGGCGAGGCAGGCGGCGGGCGAAGACGACCAGGGGAAGGACCTGGGCGAGGATTTCCAGGACGTAGATGAAGGCCTTCCTGGCGACGAACCGCTGGAGGAGCTTGGGCTTGATGACGCCGAAGTCGTAGAAGACGTGATCGCCCAGGAGCAGCACGAAGCCCCAACCGTTTCGCCACCGGGCGTCTTTGGGGATGTTGTCCCCCGGCTCGAGGTGCCCCGGCTTGCGGCGCAAATCGCCGTCCAGGAAGAAGGCGTCCGCGTAGAGCACCGGGAAGGGGCCCTGCACCCGCCCCGGCCAGGGCACTATAGCCTGGGGCGAGACTGGTCCACCAGCCGCCGGAGCGCTGAGAGCGCGGCCCGGAGATTGCAAGGACAACGTGTCCGCCGAGTTGGCCGCCGTGTCTGCCGCCCGGGAGTAAAGGGGCTTGACGGCGGCCCGTCCCGTGCAGCCAAAGGTGGACTGCGACAGGAAGGTGAGGCGACCGGCTATAGCCTGGATGCCGCGTCGGGTGAGAGGCTGTCCGACTCCAGCGCCTCGTCGATCTGGCCACCGACCAATGGTCAGGGGCCGCGCACGGGCCGACGACCCGAGGGCGGCCGTGTGGACGCCCTCTGGAGCATTTGGCCGCGACGTAAGCCGGGTTCTCCTGCCGCAAACGGTCCAGACCAGAAAGGTTCGAAGAGCGTCCGTCGGCGCGCGGCTTCCAGCCCGGCGCGCGGCGGACTGGACCGAGCATGTCAAAGCCCAGGCGGAGGTCCTCCTCAAGGTCCGCGGTGGCGGGGTAGCCGAGGGCGTTGAGCAAGTCCAGCAAGATCGGCCCCTGAAAGGGCCGAGAGCGATCCGAGGTAGTGTAGGTCGCCCTGACGTGGGCGGGTAGCTCCTGAAGCCAGGCCCGTGTGTCGTCCTCCCGCTCCTCCGCAAAATGATCTCCCGATGCGGCATAGGTCGTGGCGCCAAGTCCATGACCGCCACCAGGGCCGGCTCCAAAGCCGGGCTGCGGGCGAGGGAGTGCTGCATCAGCGGCGCCGAGGCCCAGTGCTGCTCCATCCAGCCCCTCGCCCAGAACGGGCGGGGAGGGTCGGGGCGGGGGAGTAAAGTCCCACGGCTGGCCCGCCCAAGCCTGGACCAGCCACTGCAGGGTTGTTCCTGTGCCCGGCTCCTGGCGGCCTGCTCCCTCCTGATAAAGGCCTCGCGCCGAAGGTGCTCCTGCCGATGATGGTCGTCCTCCTGCCCCTGGGTCGGCCTGTCGGCCTGTGGCGCCGGCCCAGCCGAAGAAGCCGTAGTCGAGGAGGGCGTCGTAGAACCGCCAGGCGCCTCTTGTTCCAACGCCGGCGGCACCTTGTTGTGGACAGCCCCCGTCGAAGAGCCGCTGGCCGCCAGGCGGAGGAGGCGGCTGTGCCGCCATGTTCAATGGCCCCGTGCTCGGGAACTCCGCCGGCCGTGGCGGGAAAGGCACCGGCGGTGAACCATCGTTAGGAGCAGGCGGCCCCGGCAAGGCGGGCTCCACGAAGGGCGGGAGAGGAGCCTTGGTCGCCGCCGTCCGCTTGGCCGCCGCCTGGAACGGGGCGGCTTCTAGGATCTCGGGCGCGGCCTCGGAGGCGTCGAGCTTGGTGAGGTAGAGGGTGAGCGAGTCCCAGTCGGCATCAGGGCCCGGGGTGCCGCGGCGATCTTGGGCGACGCCCTGGCAGCCGCGGGCTCGCGCCCCTCCCAAAACCGCCCAGGGTCCGTCATATGGGCTGGACCGCCTCAGGCGCCAAGGAGGGTGCAGAAGACGCCGAGGTCGACATAGGCCCCGGCCCGTCATCCGCCGCGGTATCCTCATCCGGCGTGGCAGCCGCCTCGGCCATGGCCGCCCGCAGGTTGGAGGCGTCTTCGGGCGATAGCGCCCTGATGGCGGCCGCCAGGCCTGTGACGGAGAGGCCCGACACAAACGACCGAATAAAGTGGGCCTCATGTGTCTGCACGCCCCAGTCGTGGCCGCCAGCCGGTGGGGGCGGACCAGTCGGTGCCGGGCTGTCGTCGAGGTCCAAGCCCAGCAAGTCGACGGAATCGGCCCCGTGGCCCCACCCGGCGCCAAAGCCTCGGCGGGCAATGTGCCCGGGGAGGCGAGCGCCCCAACCGGCGTAGGCTCCAGCCCGTCGAGCGTGTCCAAGTCGAATCCACCAGGCGAAGAGGTAGAAGGCGCCGACGTCGTGCCTTCCACCAGACCCACGCCCGGTGCGGCCTCCAGGCCAACCGCCCCGGAAAGGCGACGAAGAGGCGGCGGCAGCCGGCGACACGGGCGTGGATCCGGTATTCGCCATGTCCCGAGGGGAGGCGGATAGGACGAGAACACAATTCGAAAAGACGGGCGAGCCGATACAGCTGATCGGCCGCCCGTTTACGCTTGTTCCTACACACACACACACACACACACACACACACACACGTGTGTTACACAACATTTTCGTTGGAGCTGGAGATATCAGCGGCTCCAAGTTGAACCAGCTGCATGCACGGCAGTGATTTAGACTTCAGAACACGAAAGACTATCCTGCTGCTGCCTCCAGATCTTGCAGCTCGCGCTGCAGGGAACGGTCGGCCGATGTCCGAGAGCGAGCATTCTGAAGCTCCTCTCCTCGTTCGGGAACGAATCGTCGCGCGTCAAGTCTCAATAGTGTCTCATAGGCTCGTGTCCTGTAGTAGTACATCTGTCTGTTTCGGTCTTCGTAGAGGCTTTGATATGAAACCACACATTGAAGTCGGCTAAGCCTCGCACGGAGACCATCGCACCTGACTCCAAATGGACGCAGACTGCTGGACTCCTCATCTGGCAACGCTACTTTCGCTAGGATGCTCTTAGGAGCTGAGATCTGGACTGGAGCTGAACACTTGCGATCCTTGGAAGGCATTCAAAAGATCCACGCGCAACTGCGGCAATCCATCCATGGAGCCTACCAGATTCTGCCAAGCTTCCGGTCTTCGAGTCGCGCACGATCGGCCTCGTCACACCGAAACTGGGCAAAACCTAGCACAAGTTGCCGAAATAGTTAGCCTCTACTATGTGCCCTGTCATCTTTCGCTGTGATATGCTGGCTGAACTAGAGCTACAAACGAAGGAATAAGATCATCCTACACCATGAAGCTAACCAGATCGAACGCCTTTCCTAGACGGCTCCCGCCTCATTTTGTTGAAGCTTTTTGAGAGCCTGGCGGCATGGAGGGTTTAGGGTTTAGGCTTCAGGGCTTGGGGTTTAGGTTTTAGTACGGTTCAGGGTTGAGGGCTTATGGTTTATAGTCTTGGGTCGAGGGACTGAGCAGGATTTGGGGAATCATTCCTCCCCTTGCTCAACGAAAAAGATTCCGTGAGCTGGAGTCAGACGAGGCGAGTCGACACGTATTGAGACAAGATGAGAAGAGGCAAGACAAGATACAGCAAAGCCAGGCAAGACAAGACAAGACGAAATGAGGCGAGCTATGAAGACAGATGAGCAAGGACAGTCAGAGAAGACAACATAAAGGTTGCAACCCAATGTAAGGGTCCCTAGTAAGTGGAATTTGGTTTCAGTGGTATAATAGAGTATTGTTATCTGGGGACGTTATAGGGACACTGTCGCGACTAATACATTCTGGTCGCCTGTTCTGATCGGCCCACCTCTTCCTCTCGGTCCTGGCTCGCTGCCAACTTAGCCTGTCATATGGAGGATAGTAATCGTAACAGTAACAGTAATAGCAATAGTAATAATCGTAATAGTACCAAGAAGAGCAGTAATAAGATTGATAACTGTATTCGTATTGCAAGAATTGGGCCACGAAGGCTTTCGGGATGCAGGGCTTTTGGCTCAAGCTTTGGGGGGGGCGGGGGCGGCGGAGGGCGACCTGGCGTCTTATGTCTTCTGGTCCATGACGCTTCTATGCGGATTAAGGTCTCACGTGGGAAGGCTCGCATGTCGTGGCAAGATCAGCAATGGCGACCACGAACCTGACAAGCTACAGAAAAAGATTAAGGAGCCGTACCAGTACCAGCAGCTTCTTGCGATACACCTCGCCACTTCCACTTCGAGAATTCTAGACAGCGCCGCCAAACATGACGGCTTCTCTGATGTTACCATACCGAAGAACCTATCCCGGCTTGCTAGTCACAGAGTGCAGTACAGCTAATGTGCGTCAAGACCGTGTTGTGAAATGGACGTGGCCATCCCGGCTTAAGCACTCAAGCTGCAAGCTTTGATTTCGTGCGGCCAATCTTCGCATCTGCGCGAAACGCCTCGCACTCGGGAAGTGAGATACGACATCTGCCATAACCACAGTAAAGCTTTTCTGTTTCGGATTCGAGTTTAAACGAACCCCATAGCTTCTTGGAAGGTGCGAACTCTGGAGCCCACATGTGCTACCTGTAGCCCACCATGGCAGGGCGCGGCACGCCCTTGCCCCCTACGGGTAAGCCATCTTTCAGAAGAAGAGAAGTGCCACCTCAGGGAGTTCAGAACAGGTCTTTGCAAAGGGATCCTACGGTTCTACAAATCTGGGCGTCCAGCTCCGACAGGCGGTTGGTTTAAGCGAGGGTTCTGAACAAAGGCAGCGGCTACCACACTCGCATGGCATAGATTGGGGGCTTCTGGCTTTCTGTCAAAACTGATATATCGCCCTGCTGCTGCGAGACTTCGTGCAGCTCGCCTCCCCGTCTGATGACTACGGGGGCACGCTATACTTGCCACTGTAAGCTAACGGGCTGCGAATCCACCTAATGATGGACCTAATGCCCTAAACCCTAATTCCCTAAACCCTAAACCCCTACAGCCTAAATCCCTAAACCCCTAAACGGCCCTAAACCCCCAAACCCCTAAACGGCCCTAAACCCCCAAACCCCTAAACGGCCCTAAACCCCCAAACCCCTAAACCCTCGACTCTTGGAGCTTCCGAGTTCCAGCAGCCGACGTACGATGGTTAGAAGGACCGTTCCGATGGAGGCGGCCCAAACAGCCCTGTTGAAAGAAGGTAAAATACAGGTAAATAAAAAGGGCCCGCCCACCTGCCGAGGCAGGCGGGCGGGCCGGCGGGCGCGCATTCCTGTCACTTTCCTTTACAAAAGGTGTAAAAAAGGTGCAATAAAAGGTGCAAAAGATATAAAACAAGGTTGTAACCAGTGTAAAAGAAAAAAAGGTGTAAAAAATGTGAAGAATGTAATGAAAAAAAGTAAAGGCAACGCAAAGGACAGGTCTGTGGGAAATCCCAAATCACCGGGCCTGCACGTGGCATACCTTTTTGGTAACCTTTTGTACACCTTTGTTTACCTCGCTTATACCTTTTTCACACCCTTTTTGTCCACCTTTTTTTCGCCTTTTGTACACGAAACTGATAGGGACGTGCGCCCGCCGGCCCCCGCCTGCCCCGGCAGGTGGGCGGGCGTGGGAGTGCAGGAAACTCCGAGTCACGTGCACGTGGCCTGTGCTTAGTCTTCACCTTTATCCCACCTTTGTTTTACCTTTCCTTTACCTTTAAAAAATCTAGTTTCACCTGGTTCCAGCTTTATTTCACCTTGCTTTTTGCTTCACCTTACAACTTCACCTTTATTTTGCCTTTTATTGAAGCTGACATGTGCCTTTGTCTCCAGGACCTTCTAATACTATTAATGGAAGCTTCCATACCTCAATAAATGTGTGTCTGTATATACAAAAAAGATCTGCATATTACATGTACAGTCATAGACATATACGTCATATACATATCCATGTACATATACAATAAGATAATGCTTCTGGAGATGCTGTGACCCGAGTCCCAAGCCTCAACCCAAACCCTTGGTGCGCCTTTGCCCTTGCCCTTGCCGTCCAGGCCCTTGCCAGTCGCCAAGCCCATGCGTCTCCAAAACCCAGGCTCTTCCTGCCCAGATGGTCTGAAATAGTAGATGGCTTCCGTACCATGAGCACCTTCGAATGTTCAAGAAATAATCTCAAAGGAAGTTGCGACTCGACAGCAATGCCGAAGAACACAAAGGGAGGAGGAGGAGGAGGCGCAGGACATGCCCGAGGATAAGGATGATGGTGTCGATCATCAGATGGTAATAAAAACAAAGAGGAAGAGGATGACGATGACGAAAAATATCAAGACGATGATGATAACAAATGATGACAACGTCAAGGGTGGTGATGCTGATGCTGATGCTGGCGGCGGTAATTACAATGATCGTGATGTTGATTATGCTCATGTTGCTGGTAAGATGTTGAGGAAGAGGCGGACGACGACAACAGGTCGGCGAGGACAGCACTTTACTGGCGGTCAATCCCCACTCCCTTGCAGACTCCTCGACCGGCCGGTGGAAGCCGAGCTTCTCCCAGTCCACCTACATACGAGTAAGAACCCGCTGGGGACTTCTTCAATCAAGAGCACGGATTTAGCTGCTAGTTTAGCTTTTACTGATGCACGTCCGAAACCTGAGGGAACCTCACTCACGTGGTGGGCTGGCGTGCAGCTGCGAATAAGTTGATTTTAGAGGTTCTATTCCCCAGCTGCGGCCTCACGCCCCTTCACGCCATGTGGAAGTTCTCCTGGCACCCCTGAAGCCCTACACCTACACCTCCTGGCCACACCTTGCCGGTGAGGCCGCCGTCGTCTCCGCCCCGCCTTGCAACACCCTCAGGCCTCAGGGCTTCGGAATCCAGCAAGTTTCAATACCGTTGTGTTCATAGGAAGACTTTGATTGAATAGTGATGCAAACGTTCACCTACTTTGCAATTGGACTCCAAAGCCTCTTGGTTCGCATGGTTCCTGCCCCGATTCATTAAACACCTCCTGAATCCAAATCGGGATGATCTTCGGTGTTTCCTGGTGCAGACTCCCTAAACCCTAGACGCCGATGTCTACGATGTGTCACCCGCCCAACAGCAAACCGGGCCAGCTGCAGCGGGACGGGCTCGAGGCCCTGAGGCACCGAGCCTGGAGCTACAAAATCAAGATGACAGAATCCCATATACTGTACTATACTTTACTATCATAGAGTACATACAGCAGTATAGGATTATCTCGGACGTGTAGAACTCAAAACTCGTTCATGTCGCATGGCCCTCATGCTTTACATCCAGGCGCTGGTGCCTGGCTCGAGCACGCTGCCGCCAGGACCCCGGATCTTGTTCAGGATCTTCCGACACCTCAGTCGCACAGAAACTGTCATGAGGCCGCGAGGTTGCATGGATGACACGAAGCTGGAAGGAACTGCGGTGGGCTGCAGGCATCTTGGGCCAGCACTCGTCGTGCGCATCGCGCGTCATTTGCGGCAGCGCCTGCACCGCAATGAGCAGCTAAAGCTCGGATGCAACAAGACTTCATCTACGCCCTGAACCGTAAACCGCTAAACCCGACATCCTGAACCTTCATCCAGCAACACAGTCTTACGGCCAGCAGGCTCCACTCTACTTCCGAAGCCGTATGGTTCAGGTAAACCGAAGAAACTCTAAAAATCCCGTCTGAAAACCCTTGCAGATCCCTCCAAGGATCCCAAAATGGGCCCCAAAATCCTTGGGGGGTGCCTGCATGCATCCCTTAAAGGACCCCTAGGAGGGCCTTAAAAGAACTTCTTGAAGAATCCGTACAAGGATCTCCTAAAGGATCCCTATCTGGCCTTGGCCGCCGTGCTGAAGGAGGCTTGGAAAAATCGCTCTGCGCGCACCTCGAGCTTGCCGATTATCCTTTTGTAGAGCCTTCTGGTTGTTGTTGCTAGATGATATTTGATGAGTAGTACATGATATCAAGAATAACATGTTCTAGTGTGGGGCGTAGGGCTTAGGTTTGGGTATGGATTTGAAGTAGGATGTGGAGGGTTTTCTGGGCCTGGACTGTTCAGAGCTGGCTGCTACTTTCGGCTCTCGCGTACATGTCGATACTACGAACCCTCTAGTAATAGTAAGCGCTGATATGATACGAGACAACCATAACAGCCCCGGTGCTAGAATACCGAGCACAGAGGCTTCACGCGTGGGAGGCAAAAATCGATTCGTCCAACAGTCTTGCTTCAGGAAGATTGCGCAGTGAAAAATATCGCTCCTGTCGAGGTTTTATAATGTTTGGAGAAGGACGTACTTCGGCAAACTTACCTTATCCTTCTCGTCGCGTTGTACATGCGGTTTGTTACAAAATATCCCCTTACCTCACATCTCCACTCGGAAGGGTGGTCTGCAGAAGCTTGGCGTGGTTGATACTCCTGCGGCACAACCGTCGACGGCACATGGCACTGCACAGCGCCTAGGTTGCCTGGTAAGGGCTGACCACGCGAGCGTCTCCGAAGCCCCATCTTCTGGCTGAGGGCCCTGCCCCTTTATTCAGTTTGGTGATGGAGGCCATCTCCTGCAGAGTACGTAAACAATATATAACATGAACATAAATAAATGAACACACTAAAAACATAAGTATATATATATATATATACATTCAATCAATATGTAATATGCTACATCCGGTTTCGGGTGTGGGGTCCCGAAAGAGGAAACAAAGTGTGTTCGGCCTGTGCGACTCTCGGATTCAGGGATGGGGGTTTTGGAGGCATGCATGCCTTCAGAACTTCAATGTGAACGTAGGTACCCGTATACGCATAGGTATTAGTAGATTGAGAGATACAGTAGATGGCCGACACCTTCGCCCTCCCTGCGCTCTCCCGAGTCGTGCAGGCCTCCATGGTGAGCTTAAAACTGAACAGCTTTGTGTTCTCGAGAATGTGGTTGGGATTCCAGCCTCAGGTGTCAAGCCAGGAGCATTGCACCTGAATGTGCAGTCACTGTTGCACGCTAGGCCCGGTAGCAGCAGCCTTGCGATTCTGCGACCAAAACAACAGCGCAAAGACCCTCCATCTCAAAAAACCTGAAATCAAGATCTTTACCTTCCACTCACCCGGCGACGGGCCAGACGGTTCAAAAGCAAAATCCCAGAAAAATTAAGATCCACCTTGCCCCTTGTTGCTCCTTTGTTGCCAGACCTGAAGTAAGTGGGGAGATTGCAGGTAATACTGCTGAGGCATTGGTCCCAGCCCAGTCTCACGGCAGAGAACTTCACTGAGTTCCACTTTTGAGATGAACGAATCTTTGTCCACGTCTGTTCTTCCTGACGACATGATTTCTGTCTAAGAGGCTCCGTCTCATACTGAGTTCCTTTACAAAAGCAGCACTGGCAAACGATCCTAAGGCCTAGGCACCTAAACTCTCAGCCCTCATTAGCCCCTTCCATTCTTACTTGACCCGAAACCCTTTCTGAGGCCACCGGCTCTTCGGAACGACGCAGTGGCCGCGTTGCAGATTCCATCGCAAAGCCACCTCTTTCACTCGAGCTCGTTTGGCAAGTTTGGGGTAAGGCAAGAAGAAAGTCCACCAACCTGAGCTGCCGTGGCATCGTGCCGATTGGCGATGCTCTGTAGGAGTTGTAGCTCTGGCACCTCGACATGCTCTGCTCGAAACAATATGTTACATACAGTATTTCATATACTGTACCGTACATTCCATATTAGGCTTACTTGACGATGGCAAGCAACAGTCACACCGCTACGAGCGTAATTATACTGTGGTGCTTCGGCCGACAGAGCCAGAGCAGCAGAAGCGCTCACGATGCATGGCGGATACTCCGGCCCTCGGTGCTCAAAGTGCAAAGACCTCCACTGCCCAGGCCTTCAGCAAGGGCCTCATTTCTCGAGCATCTGATTTCGTGAGCACCTGTGGCAGCTGCGAAGATTCGCGATGGCAGGTCTTCTTCGTGCAGCAGTATCAGTCCTACAGGGCATAGAAACGAACGAGGGCGCCGATAGTAAATGGAGATCCATATAGCGATCTGCTTCGACTTTGTACCATGAATATTTCAGCCTGCTCTCGCAGCCGAAAGAATACAGTAAAAGGAACCCTAAGCCCCAACCCCTGAACCCGACACCCGCAACCTTTCGTGCCTTCAGGTAGGTCTCCACTTTATGGGGCGCACCGAGTGGCGAGTAGGCCAGGACCTGCCCCAAGCGTGTCTTCACTTGCGAAAAAAGTTTTCGCTCAAAGCAGTATATTCCGCATGCACCCTTCCCAATACGTTGACGAAGAACAATACCACCATTAAGCATTCCTAGCAGCTGCGGTGCTTAGTATCTTCACTGGTCACTGGTGCAACGACACTGCTCTGTCTTGAAAACACTCAGACTAGCTGATCAGGGAAATGACATGTAGTGAACCGACGTATAGCCCAATCCAAGACATCCCAAGAAGTCCGGAAGAACCAAACGGCTCTTGCAAGGGACCGCCTACATCCAACCAAAAGAGCAATCGATCCTGAATCCCCATGCTCTGGCACAAGTCGGACATCTCTTCGTTGGTGTTCAACGGATGGACCTGCCAATTTGGGGCTGCATAAGCTCTGTTAGGCTGTGCCCTCAGGTCAGGGAGCGTGGTTGGTAGAGTGACTGGCTAACCACATTAACTACAGTCCCCTTCGGCTCGCCCCTCTTGATCTCCGGAGATCCCTAAACTCCTAAACACGACCTACCAGACCCAAACCAGTAGGCATGAGCTTGCAAGAGGGTGCCAAGCCTCCATGGCCAATACTGCAGGCGGCATCTTGACGCCCGCAAGGAACTTCCGGAAGACCTCCACACAGACCTTGAGTGGAAAAACGCCGGGCCGACGGACTTCCAGGCATTCTGGACTTCCACGAGGACAAGCCCTCATCGGCAGGTGTCATCATGTAGACATTTAAGTTTATGGGCTCAACGACATTGATCGTGATGGTGTTTGATTCGATAGCTCTCTCCTAACTCAACGAATGGACTACTCATGAAGTCAGGACCCCAATGCCGTGGCAGAAGCGAAACCCTTCATACACCTCAAGCAACGCAGTTCACCCTAAAACACGTTGCCATCACAGGAACGAACCGCAAAGGGAAAGAAGGCCCTGTGCGCCTTGGGGCCCAGGAGATCGAAATTGGAGACGCCGAGGAAACGGGTGCGGCCTTCTCGCGCAACCTCCACAATCTTTCTGGTCGTGAAGAAAGTGCGCACAGTCTCAGAAGACACGAAAGCTCGCTTCGGAACCAGTGTACGGCTGCGCATTCCTGACTCCGACAAGGAAAGCGTATTGCACTGCCTCCTCTATCCAGGGCCAGGCAGCCGGCACTTGCCTCGTGGTGGTTCAGTACTGCTTTGATCCGATTCCCGAATTCAGGACCTGAAACACCTGGTGTCTTTTTCAGCTTCAACCACGAGGGGCAAGCTCTGGCGGACAGTCGGCCACGAGCAGGTCGACATAATCCACCTGCAACTCTCCTGACAGCGCAGTGCTTCGCAATCGCATCCGAAACCTTCCTCTGAAGACAAGGGGCTCAGGAGCATGTCGACCTCACTGCGCACCTGCTCTCGGTCCTGGGGTACCACAGCAAAGAAGCGTATGCAAAGGCTGCAGAAGTCACGGAAGGGGTCCTTGCACTTTGAGATCCGGCCACAAAGGAAGACTTCCCCACGATTGAGGGCCTCCTGCTGCACAGCCTTGGCATGCCACAAAAAAACGATACGAACCAAGTGTGACAATCGCTGGCATGGATGCGATCCCATGGCTGGAACAAGTGCCAAGTAGCAAGACCGTGAACAGCTCTAGGCATAATCTAAGAGAGCGCAACCCTGCTGTCAGTGCTACCTTTCCGGCACTTTTGTCCAAGACAGCCCCTCATCGGATGTATCCCGAAGAGCGCATCTCCATAAGGCGACTGGCCTGAGCCGACACATTGCTTCTAAGGTTCGGGGGCAGTCAGAAAGAATCTAGCCCGGGCCTAGCGTCCTAGCTTCTAGCCAAAGTTTCCACAAAAGACAACATTCGAAGAAGGATGGCCACAGGGAGAGAGAGAGAGAGAGAGAGTGAGAGTCAGAGTGAGAGCCAAAAATACGCAGACAAGCGCAAAAAGCTGCCAAACTCGAGCAAGAAGCCGTCCGATCCCAGGCGAAAATCTCATCTGCAATTGAGATGTTTCGCTCCTCCTCGGAGACGTAGAACAACGGGATCGGATCGAGCTCTGCCGTGCAGACCACTTTGGTATGACACTCATAAAGAGAGTCAATGAGAGTGATGAAGCGTCGCACTTGATCACGCTCTTGCATGGTTAGTTTGGGGATGTTTGCCAAGAACACTGTGTGGAAAGTACGGCCAATGGCCAGATAGTCTGCTGCTCCCAGAGCCTCTGATGCAGTTTTGGGGGCCCTTAAAAGCATGTATGTGAATAGGTACCTCTTTTTGACCATAAGGGAAATTCTGAAAGTTTCCCAAAGTGCCACCTAGGAGCCTTGTTGCACAAGTCGGAAAAGTCAAACCATGCTACATCGGACGTCTCGGCACAGCGGGGCACAAGGAGCTTGCGACCCTGGGCTTGCACCTGCGCGCCAGTTCGGAACTTGCCCTGGCATATCCTGGTCACCGCCAAGGCTGAACACAAAACATCAACCACGAAGTCGGATTAGCCTTTGCGAATATGTGGGTGTAGGGTTTCGGGGACATGCTGCTTTCAATTCAAGACATTTGTTTTCCAAACAGGGTCCGAGGATCTTGGCAAACTTATACTCCAGGATTTTCTGCTCGGCAGGTCCATTGGGGGTAATGTAAACTCGGTCGTCCTCCCCGCCGCACGTGGAGGTCATTCGGTAGTCCACCTCTGCACCGATGTCATGTACTTTGCAAAAGTCTTCAAGCATGGGAATGAAAGGCAAGAAAAGTGGGCGATTGAGACCGTTCAGGTACAGGTCCTGTGGAGGGCGGTTGGAAGTTGCCACGACGACGGCCCCCAGCTCGAAGAGCACAGAGAAGATGCGCTTCATGATGATAGCATCGCTAATGTGTGTCACCTGAAACTCGTCGAAGCAAAGCAGCCAGCCCTCCCTCATCATGTCCGTTGCCACCTGCTCCACCAGATCGTCGGCAGTGTTGTCCCTGCTTGTTCTGTCCATCTTCTTCTGATGAAGTCTCTCGTGGACTTCAATCATCCACTCGTGGAAATGGATTCGCTTCTTCTCCTTGACATTGATCTTGTCATAGAACATATTCATCATGAAGGTCTTGCCAGTACCTGTGCCTCCCCACAGGTACAGCCCTTTCTGGCCGGGCGCGGGGTTTGGGGTTATGGCTGCTTTGGGCGGTGGGGCCTTGGCAGCTTTGGCCTTGGCTCCAAAAAGGCTTCCGAAGAAGCCTGGAGATGGAGTGGGCGGCAGCGTGGGCTTGGGAGCTCTTGCCATTTTAGGCGAGTAGCTCTCCAAGTTTCCGGCCAGGCCGTCCAACATTTTCATGCAATCCTCTTGCCGAGGATCTGCCTGGATGTCGCCTGAAGCTTTCAGCTTCAGGTAACTTTCCAAACAACCACCAGGCAGGGCAGAAAGAAACCGTTTCTGGCCGATGATAGTGCTGGCAGCAAAGACTGCTGCTGACCAGCTGCGAGGCTGACCGCCATGGCCTGCCAGGCAACGGCAGGACAGAGCTCGAGTCAATGAATTTATCATGGCGGCTCTATCCTGGCGTGCTCGAACCGAAATTGCGTCCATGGACAACTGCGGCCATCATTTCACACCTGCTTGGGTCTCAGGAAAAGTGAAGCTGTCTCTTATTGATCGCTTCACGAAAGCACTGCCAGGGAAAACAGTAGAAGTTCCAAAGCGACCCGCACTGGAAGCTGCCAGTTGACCTGCTAGAGAAATGGCAACGCCTAGAAAAACGAACTCACGTTGTCGACTCGGAAATGGTCGAACAAATGCACTGTGCATATGTATACACACACACACACGTGTATATATATATAGATAGATAGGGAGATGTACAGAGATATATATTTATATCTTTATTTACTTGTTTATATGTATATCAACTTACATTCATCCTGTGTATGTATATACATATACCTAACTCTAGGCTTATTTGTTTATGTACTTATGAATTTCCATGTAGTATTTGTGTGTCTTCATTGATTCATGTACTTACTTACTCACTGACTTACTGACTTACTTACTTGCTTACTTACTTACTTACTTACTTGCTTACTTACTTACTTACTTACTTACGTATCTGCTTACTTACTTGTCTGTCTATTTGTACACGCACATATGTATAGGCATACATATATATATATATATACACATGTCCATATACAGTCTGTGCTCATGTATTCACACATAGCAGGTTAGTTAGCCAGCTAGTTTTAAATCTATCTATCTATCTAACTATCTATCTAGCTAGCAGCTAGCGGCTTCCGGATAAGTTCTCAGGAGCTGATGAGAAGGGAGCTCCGAACTTTGAAAGTGCTTCCAAGATTGCAGGCCCCAAGTTTAATGAATTACCGATGGGCTGAGCCCGACGCTGTCTTCAAAGCTCTGCCGATGCTTTGCTGGTTCATGTGACCTGGCATCGAAGCTCCGGGACTTCGTGGGCTATCGGGTTCAGGGTCGGCAATTTGAGCAGGAAGGGCAAGGGAGGCTTAGAAGCAAGAAAACATGCCCCGACCACGGTTGCTGCTGTCGATAAGTCTCACACCAGCCGCCAGCGCTTCCTGCATGCAAAAGACCCACCATTGTGCCGAGATGTGCCGAGCAAGCAGCTTGATTCATCCATCGTTCTTCATGTGCACACTAGCGTGACACTCACGGCATTTTCAAGCAAGTTGACCAGCAAACCTCCCCTCTGACCTGCAAAGCGGCTTGCGTCAGCTCGTCCACCCGCCGGTAGAATTCCTTCATAGGCGAATGGGGTTCGAGATACTCTACATGCACAACCCTGATCTAAAGCTCTGCGTATCGGCAGAAAATGCAGCATCACCAGGATCATCGAGGATGCCCCCCCCCGAGCTTGCCCCCTCAGCTTCGGTCTGGCAGCCGCAGGCCTGATCGGAGACACGCTCCGCTAGATCCTCTGGCATGAAGTGGCCTCAAAAGGGCTGAGGGCCTTCGACGGCCTCTAATCGAGTTGCACGATCATACTATCAGAATACATATATATATATATATGTGTGTTATATGTATCATAGACTTTACTGTAATGTTTGCCTGTAGCATCATACACAACCTGGGAGTGGCTTCCCGAGTGATCGGGGACGCAGGGGAAAGAACTGCTCGGCGAGAGGCGGCTCGACCCGAACACGCCATCACTTCCTTCCTGGTCCGAAGGTCCGCAGCAAAAACAAAAGCACTGCCATCACGCCGTCCGAGAATGTTCCAGTCCTCAAGCCGCCTCTTCGACCGCGATAAAGCCCTAATGAGTCTTCATGTTGCAAGTTACTGTCGGGGATGAAACCCTGGAATCCAACAACGCCCCGTATCGGCACAGGGAATCATGGATCCTGCTCCCAAGCCGTGACTCTGAGGCAGGAGCTGCCAAAGCCGAGGACAGGCAGCTCCTGAGGACCAGTTCAACTCAGGCTTTATTGGCATCCACGAAAGGGCAGCGACTCCCAACGGCTCGCAGCATCCGTGCCACCGACTACAACCCTTTCATCACCCATAACTGCAAGATCTCAAGACCCCGTGATACACACGGATTGCAGCGGACTCCTGCAGTCCGGAGGCCGCGGTGGGCTTGGTCCTTCGCGGTTCTAGCACTCGTGTGACACGGGGTTCGCAAGAGCATGTATCATGGCAGAAAACGTACAAATGGTTTTCGCTTTGTTGCCTTACACCTGACACGAAACGGGACCTCCCCCATCCAAACAGAAACATCTTTCCTGCCTTCCACCTACAGAAACAGAATGCAGCACGGTAAACGTTCAACTGTGCCAGAAAAGATTCATGCACGGACCGCAAGCAGACCGCAAGAACCCACAGCTCCATAACGCTCGAAGGCATGACGATGTGCAAGTTGCTGCCATGGAATTTGTCAACTTCAGGGACCCTAGGATCCCCTTCTATATTTTACTATGTTATACGATACGATATGATAATGTTATGTTGTACTACAGTATATTACAGTCTATAAAAGACCACTCGAATTTCGACAGCTCCCACGTCGGGCCTCGATGCCACCAGAGCTGGGAGCGGGAATGCAACCTGACGTGGCAACTCATTACGATCCAACATATGTGATACATCATTTAACACGTACAATACAAAATGCAATACTGACTACAAAACCTCAGTTTATATCATATGGCCCAGTAAAGCATAAGAGGATAGAATAGAATAGAATAGAACAGAACACAATCGAATGAAACAGAAAAGGCTAGAACATAGTATAACATAACACCATACCGAATGAATATATATATATATATAAATATGCATATATATATAAGATATATTACATAATATCATAGAATATCTCAAAACATAACATAACTGACATAGCACAACATAACATGATATGATGCAACATAATACAACATAACACAACTCAGTATAGCACGACAACAAACAAAAAGAAATATAACAAGGTACCATGCAGTGTAATACAATACAATGTTGAAAACATAGTGTAACATAATATGAAACAAAATCATACACGGTAGGATGTCACATTATATTCTCCATTTTATGCTAGCTACGTGTTGTAAGGATAGTATATTGTTCTCATGTTGTAATTTGTAATGTACAATATTGTATTGTACGGTATTATATTGCAATATGGTATTATAAAGTAACAAATTGTTTATACTATATTGCATGCTATTGTATTATATGCCTTTATGCTGTATTATAATACTATGTTGTATTTTACATCATGTTATATCATATTGTATAACCTTATGTTACATGATGTTATTATAAAAGATACTGAACTATGTTATATGAGGTTAAATTGTGGTATATATACGTATATACATATATATATATATATATATATATATATATCATCCTCAGATGCAAAAAGAGATTGCGCTGAGCGCAGCAGTCGGGCCTTGATGGCCTTGTGGTCCGAAATCGGAACCTCCAGCTGCGCCTGGGCGCAACCCGAGAGTCTTCACTGGAGTATGGGATAGGCAAATTACGAAGTGTAGGGTTTTTTATCACCTCTTTTCCGTCGCCTGATAAGGAGTCCGGCGAAGTGTAGGGTTTAGGGCTCAGGGCTTTAAGGGTGCATGGTTTCGGGTTTAGGAAAATCTGGAGGGTACGGTATGGAGGCACATGTACATAAAGAGAGGGCCCGCCGAAGTCTTCTAAGCAACGGCAACCCGAGAAGCCTGAGCTCTGGGCTGAGGGCTTGCCATGCAGCCACCAGACTGGGTTCGAAAATAGACTTAGAAGCTTGGAAGAAAATGACCACACCCCAAAAAGAAACTGAAGCAACGAAAACTAACGAAAGCCGCTGAATCCGAAGGCAGCTTGCACGCCGAATCACCTGGACCATTTATTTTCGGAAAGCTTTGTGCGGCCATTCACAGTTGCTTGTACTATACGAAATTATATTGTATTGTACTTTATCATGATCAGATCCTGCTTTGGTTTGTACTCCCAGGCCCCGGGCTTCGCCAATGACGTCGGCCGTAGCGAGGGCCTCCACCGATCGCGGCGTGACCTGTGTTGCGGAGTTGCGACTGGGACTGAGGCTTAATGATGTGTAATGTGGTATTGTATTATAGTATATGGGGATTATATTATACTAAGATTATATTGTAAACACAGGTTGGGTTTCGGCCTTCAGGGCTCTCATGTCGAGGAGTCCCTTCACAGCTTGACACGGCCGCATTCGGGCCTTCTGACTCGTCGCCATGAAGTCGGCGAGGAAGCCGAAGAGGCCTCAGGGTGCCGGGGACAAGGGTTGGACACCCCAAATAGGGTAGGGTTTAGTTTAGTGAAGCCGAAGAACCCGTGAAGCCTTTCAGAAACCTTTGCTTCAGGGGAAAACTCGGCGATTGAGCCCAGAAGCAGCTGGCGGGGACCGCGTCCTTGTCGTAGACCAGGGACCATCCGACATCGTCCAATGTTTGCAGAGGCGCCTGCAATGAGCAGAGGCTTGTCTCGGGCATCATGCCACACTTCGTGCATTTGCACTGGCACGTCTCTCACATGCGTGCGTGCGGCCGTACATGCGTGCATGCATGTACAAGAAGCAGGAGACTCCTGCATGCACTTGTACATACATACAAACCATTACAAATCTACATCCCTTCATCCATGCATTCATGGACAGATACACAGATCAAGCGCTGGATGGGCCTCTGCTTCTTCGGGATAGTCACTGCCGAAAGGGCCCGACCTGGCTCTGCCCGCCGTATCACATACATGCATTCATACATGCACTCATTCATCCATACAGGCATACGAGCATTCACACCATACCAAAATTCCGACATACAACCATACAGCCACACAATATAACATTTGCGGATGTAATCTTCTTGGCTCTAAGGAACTCCCTTGACTCCTGGACTGGCTGGCAGGCGGACACTGCGCCGAAGTCTCCCACGATGATCCCCAGGTCGTCCTGAAATCATGAAATCATGGCTTAGGCCTTACGGTTTACGGTTTAGGGTTTGGGGTTTAGGGTTTTGGGGTCACTGGTCGGTGCAGTCAGAATCTGCATCCTTCGAGAGCTGCTAACGGAAAACATACTGCGCACAATACATAACAAATGAAGAGTGCATTTTATTTCATATACAGGATCTAACATTTCCATCTAGTAGCCGATATCGAAGATCGGATATCTAATGTCGAAGATATTGTTACAATCTGTGTATATATATATATATATGCACAGATAGAAAGTCTAATATATAATCTACGGTATGTGATATACAGTATAGGTAATAGGGCGGGCGATGATGTTTGCCCCACGCCTCTGCGGAGCGTGAGGAGAAAAGATCCACCAGGCGCGCAGCCTGCCTTCTCCTGCGAGTGAGAAGAGCTCAGAAAAGAGGTTTAACGGGTGTTGGGGCTTTAGTGGTTTATGGTGCAAGCTTTCCTTCACCGACAGAGTGTCGGGCTAGGAAAGCCATGGACTTTTGGCTTCGCGGCCTCAAACAGCTGCCAAACCGTGGGGGCTGAATCTCAGCAAGCAGAAGTCGAACCGGTCACAGGGAAGGCGATCGCCGCCCTAGAACTGGCCAGCCCACGGCTTGCCTCATGCCAACAGCATCACACGGCCGGCGATCTCAGCTCGGTTTCTCGGAGCCACAACTTAGAAGACGTAGCACTTCATACCAAACCCACAAAGAGACCTGTCACCAGCGGCTCTTAGAGAAGCCGAAGCTTCAGGCCAAAAGGCCCGCAAGGCGGACGCCGGAAAAGCGAGCGCACGGCACTCGGCCAGGCAGGTAGGCAATCCCAAGCTCAGACGTCTACATGGGTGCATGAATCTAGACAGGCATTGGGAGGGTGTGAAAGACAGAGATACCGTCATGGGCATGTACGTCATGTATTCATTCATGCATGCATGTGTATATGTCTGCACGCCTGCATTTCGTACATCCGTAGTTCCGTACTGAGACGCACACACACGAACACAAACTCAAAGACAGAAACACATCGAGAGACAGACAGAGGGGCATGTTAATTGTGCAACTAAATTCTCATGCTGTGGCCAGGGCAGCTTACCATTTGGCGAAAAGTGGTGGTCAGCCTGAGTTTCGCAGGCGCGCACCCTGTACAGAACTAACCCAGCTGACTTATTGACTTGAGCAGTTCCTGCACAAGGCAGGAGTCAAATAGACTTGCAAGTAACATAGGCGAACAGGAAATAAGCAAGCTGGGTTCATTATTCCAGAAACAAAACCAACAGACGCCACCACACAGTGGCTCTACGCAATCTGAATGTAGCCAGTGCTGTCGTCCCCCGACGTTTCCTGTCGAGGTCTGGCTGCATAGAGTGCAGCCAGGAGCATGCCTGCAATCACATCGGGCCCAACAGCAGTGTCTCAAAACAAGGGACCGGCATATGGATATTAGTTAAGGCGATCATGGCTATTCGGACCCCAAAGGGGCCACATGGAGGCTCCCTAATTTTGAGAAACCCCCTAAGAACAATCCAACCGAGCAACCAGGAATGACAAATCCTTTTTAATTCTGTTCGCATTTACGTAATCATCTACAGCATACTCCAGTCCGGCCGTTAACAAGCTGCTTAGCAGAGTTTCTACACTGTGGAGTGTGGAAACTTCAAGTCAGAACTGCACATACTACGTGCCAGAGCGAGACTCATAAAGCTGTGTGATGAATGTCGCTCAACTCTGAACTGAAGAAAACTTGAGTGGCAACAGCAAGAAGAGACCAAGCCTGAAGTGAAACCCGGATGCCTGGGTCAACAACTCTGTGCCCTTGGATCTTTACGATATTGGAACAAGACTTGTGCAGTTGAGTTGGATGTATGTAGGAAAGCCACCACAACAATCAATCGAACTGAACCCAAAGAGGTTCTTGCAGCATATCCACTCCAAATATCAGACGATAGCAACATTCATATATCATCTATATGTATGTATGTATGCACGCATG